GCTTGAATGCTAGAACTTAGTAACAAATTTTACTTCAAGGGCTTGCGCATGTCTTATTGTTAGTTGATACAACACCTGCTTTCTCGGATAGTCTTCTTCTTTGCATGCACCTCCTTCTGTAATACTTCAACTAGTGCTTAGCACGTAAACTGCACCATCTCGTGGTAATTCTCCTTCTTGATTCCCCTGTTTGATCCCCCTGATGAGACCAAATGATGAATGATTCTGATGTATCTGCTGTACCACTACTTATTCTAAACCAGACTACTCTTCTGAACCAGATTTCTCCTCTGAACTAGCGTCATTCTTTGTGCCCTCGAGGTCTAACTGTGATTGACCATCATGTACTTTCAATGAGAGTTGCCCAGTCCACACATATTATTGTCTCCTTCGTTTAGATGAGGCATTCCATGACCTCCAACTCTGAAAGTCATATTTTCACTTTTGACCTTCTTGACATTTTATGGGTTGCTTATTGTATCCACCATGTGGCTTGAACTCCCACTGCCGAAGTACCATTGACCAGTATCCTCTTGTTCTTCTGAGACAATCGCCATATTACACCGAAATCCGAATCATGCAGCACATTCTGAAGCACTTCTTGTAGTAGTTGACCTCATGTCAGCTTTCTTCATCTAAATCTGGTTTTGGGATCCATTCCACGTGAATTTTCCTTCATATCTGAGTCTTTTGATCCTCTCCCAGTACTTGTAATAGAAGGCTCTTACGTGTCCATGCCTTCCACAAAAGTAACATCCAGTTCTCCGTGCTGTAGTAACTCTAGTTCTCCTACTGCAATACCTTCAGTTCTGCTGACAGGGTGTGAATACACACCAGCAGACACGAATTTGATGTCTTTGGCCTCTAAACCATTTATTCCAGTGTATTCTAGACCTCTGTGAACGCCTTTAGTCCTTCCGTAGGACATGATCTTGTCCAATTGCCTCGTACCAGCAAACATGCGGATATTCTTAACTCTCTTGGTTTGTTTTCAACATAATCTTGGACCACCTTGTAGCTCTCGACTCTCTCCATAGGATCTCACTTGTATAAATTTTGGACAAGTAACCGCTCTGATACCAATTGTAAGTGCGAGAGCTACTGTAACAGAGAGTACTATAAGTACGTAATACATAGCAAATGAACAGCTGCTGATACAGGTGCTTGTACAAGCAACCAATACAAATAACATAGGGTTTTCTTTGACAAGGATCTCTTACAAGACAACCCTTAATCCCCTTTGCTAAGGCATATTGCTTACTAGAAGATCTTTAAGATGCACATACTAGTTCCACCTAAAACAACCTATCTAGCCTCACGTGTTCATGGATTTATACACGATCCAAGAACCTTACAAGACAAACCTTAGCCCCATTGTTTTGTGTTCTCTCATGAACCCCCCAAAACTTTTTACTAAGAATTCTCTCACATTATGGGGGTTAAGCTCTACAAAACTCACGCCCCTCATATTTATACATAATAGGATAACACGGCTAACCCTAGTATTCATCTCCAAGCCTTGATGATATCAAATCTTCAAGAATATTCTCCATTTCCTTATTCTTAGCCAAGAGATAAGGAAAATCTTCAATGCTTCTTAATCCTCTCCAAGGCACTTCTCCACCTCTACTCCACGTCTAAGCTTGTCCTTGACACTTGAGTAACTTGTTCCAACCCATCTTATTAAGCCCATGTGGTTTTAAGTTCAATCCAGTCCGCTGTAGCATTTTCTGTAGTACTTTTCAACTGGTACAGGACACTGCTTCAACAGCTTCATCTTCATGTTTCACCTCCTTTACCATCAGCTTCTCATTTCTTTTGTATCTGCTCATACTGAATTCTAAAGCTCATCCAGCATGCACTTTCACTGGAAGTACGTTTGCACATAATCCATCGACTTTTGTTTTTCCTAGCTA